TATTACAATTACTTTTCTTATCCTTATTAGATGAAACATTTTCATTTGATAAAATATCAATTACATTATTGAAATATACTATTGTGGAATGTAATTTTTTTCTGTAATACTTTCATTTGATCAAGATAATGCAAAAAAAACTTGATTTGTGAAATTCACATTAACTAAGTGAAACGATACGGATTTTCAATTAACTTCAATTAGTTTCAAATTATTAATTTACTTCAAATTACTTTTTTTCAGTAATTACTATATTCAAGAAACACAAATATAAATTTATATTTAGAGTGAGAAATTGTTTCAGATTTTTGTTTGTAAAAAAAAAAACTTGGCTTGTAAAATTTGTTATTGATGAAATGAAACAATACGAATTTTCAATTAACTTCAATTAGTTTCAAATTATTTACTTCAACTTACATTTTTTCCAGTAATTACTAAGTTCAAGTTCAAGAAAGAATGAGAATAATTGTTTCCGATTGTGTTAATAAAAAAAAAAACTTGGTTTGTAATATTTCACATTGACACGAGGTGATACGATACGGATTTTCAATTAATAACTTTAATTAGTTTCAAATCATTAATTTACTTCTATTTTTTTTTCAGTAATTACTATGTTCAAGAAAGATGAATATTTGATTTATATACAAAGAGTGAAAAATTGTTAAGATTATTGTATTAGTAAAAAAAACTTGACTTGTAAAAATTGTTCATTCGCGAAGTGATATAATACGAATTTTCTATTAAATTAACTTCAATTTCTTCAGTTTCTAATTATTGATTTACTTCAATTTATTTATTTTTTTTTCAGTTATTTTTATGTTCAAGAAACACTAATATTTAATTTATATACAAAGATTAAAAAATTGTTTTGTTAAGATTATTGTATCAGTAACAAAAATTTGATTTGTAAAAATTTCTCATTCACGAAGAGATATAATACGAATTTTCTATTAAATTAACTACAATTTCTTCAGTTTCTAATTATTGATTTACTTTAATTTACTTTTTTTTTTTTTGTTATTTTTATGCTTAAGAAACACGAATATTATAATTTATATACAAAGTTTTAGATTGTTAGTAAAAAAAAAAAAAAAGTTTTGTCTTATGAATTTTCAATTAACTTCAAATTATTAATTTAATTCATTTATTACCACAAATATTTAATTTATATACAAAGAATGAGAAATGGTTTTGTTTTAATTCTGCATATTTTTATGGTAACAACTATTCTAACAGAAATTGTGTCTGATTCAAAATGTGAAATGAAAATTTTGAAATTTGATGATCTCTCCTGAATCTCTCGACCAATTATACAGATTAGAGAATATGGCTATTTAGCTCTCGTTCTGAGGTGAGTAAATCTACTCCGTTAGTTTACGTTTATATCTATCTTATGTTTATTGAAATTGGGTTTATCAATGATACGATATTTATCAATGATAAATAAAAAATTTATGGGTGTCGCCAGATTAACTATTTCAATTAAACGTTCTGGGGAACGTTTATTTGTGGAAATATTTATAAATACAGAAATTCTGTGGAGATATTTAGAAATAAAACATTGTTTTCAAGACCATATATTATGTTAGGCAGATTTGTGAAACAAATCTGTTCTTATTATTTTGTTCAAGCTTCAGCAATAAGCTTGATGAAAAAATGGTAATTCAAGTTCTTCCAAAATATTATTAGCTAAACAAGTGTTTTTTCAATTATATTACAGTAATTTTGATACCATTTTTTATTTCTAGATACATTGGCGACCCCTGAATGAACAAATGTTTGTTCATTTGAATGAACATATATTTTTCATTTATACTTAAACTATTGCTAAATCATCAACTTGATATTGGAATATTCCAATATATTTATATCAAAATGGTGATTGAACTCTGATTATATATACATTATAAAAATTAAAACAATTAAATCACAATTTAATTCAACTTAATTAAAAATCTTAAACGATTGTTATAAATCTTCAAATTGATTTATACAGCAGAACTCTTGATTAAAACACTTGTACAATTTCCATCAATTTCTTAATGGAAATGTCTTCTTTAGTATTTTACACAATATTTATATTTTTGTAATAATTCTTCTTTAAAATAAAAAAAATTATCTACTGAACAGTTCTGCTGTGTTATCAACAGAACAATATCCAATAATAAATCTATAACCATAAAAAAATAAAAAATATAATCATAAAAAAAATCTGATTTGATAAAAATAATTTAAATTTGAATCGGGGTATGTGGGCTTTTTATTTCTGACTGTATAAATGTTACTGCATTTATAACATACGAATAAATAAAACTTAGCACATTGTGTGTTAATAAATATATTCTTAAATACCACAGTATTAAATATTACAATTTAAATAGTATTTACTTTATATATATACTTCTTGAAAATTGTACCGTCTATGCTTCAAGAATTTCTATTAATTTTGTATTATTTTACAGGTACTTTGCTGTGGTTGATTTGCCAAGGCACTACTTCGAATAATTCTAGGTGAGTTTTATATATATTTTTTTTTATTAATCTTGATATAATATTTTAATGATGATTCATATTTTTTTGTCTTCTTTTCCCGTCATAAAAATTTTGATGACTACTTATTTTCTGATGCATTACATTACAAATTAGATTTTAATTATTTCTGCACGATTATTAATCTTAAATGTGTTTTACTCACTTTCAGAATTTGTGAACTTGGGACAAAGTTTTTTTTTTTTGGATTTTTAAGAGTCAACTCTAGACTGAAGCAAGTCATCGTGGTGAATGCTGAATTTGCTGCAGGTAATTATAAGTTTATTTATATCCTTTAATTTAATTTTATTTATTTAGTACATTATTCTTTTATTCAGTACTTTATTTTAATGATGATTCATATTTTTTTAGTCTTCTTTTCCCGTCATATAAATTTTGATGACAATTTATTTTCTGAGTTGCATTAAATATTTTTATAATTTTATTTATATCTACATCATTATTGAAGTAATATTTTATTTTTAGAATCTGAAGTTGGAGAATCATTTTTAAGTGTCTGAAGAAAGTGCTGGGAGTTAATGAAGAATTCTTAACAGGTAATTTTAAATTTTATTTCCAAAATTTATTTTAACATTATCCCGTTTGCCACGCTCACAAAATTCACATATTTTGTAGGGTGCCATTTCTATTTAAAGCGGGTATATTAAATGTAGTCCTGCTAGGAAACTTCAAAATGACTTTATATGCATTTTGTAGTGCCGAAAGTTATGGATACAAAATTAATTATTACATACAAACATATTAATCATAACAAACCTTTTTTTAATTTAACTTTATAAAAATTACCTTCAAATCATTTTCAATATCAATTTAAACCTTGATGTTAAATTATCTTTCACAAAGATAATAAATTTATATTAAAATTTAAATTCAATTAAACAAATTTAAATTCAATGATACAAATAATATTGAATTTTTCTCTTAAATTAAATATATCTTTGTCCACATTTATTAAAGTACAATAATTACTAGGATTATAAATTTACATTGAAATTTAAATTTTATTCAACATTTGATACAAATAATATGAAAGTAAAATGTTTTTTTTTTTCACTTTCAGAATTTGAAAAAAGGATTTTGTGGATTGTTCGGTGCTGTGATAGTGAATGCTATATATTGCAGGTAATTTTACAATTAATTCAAAAATAATTCAAATTTTACAATGTTTTGACACTAATTCTATATTTTTTATCCCGTTTGCCACGCTCACAAAATTCACATGTTTTGTAGGGTGCCATTTATATTTAAAGCGGGTATATAAAAAGTAGTCCTGCTAGGAAACTTCAAAATGATTTTGTATTCATTTTGTAGTGCCGAAAGTTATGGATACAAAATTAAATATTCACTTTTTTTTGCTTCTTAATCTATTTTAAAAAAATGTATTACTATTCTATACATTTTCATTTACTTAAATTTGTTTATAATCTTTATAAGAACTAAGAATATTTATTGCTTTATAACAAAATAAATATTCACTATTTTCTTTGCATTTCAATTTACTAAAAAAACATTACTTCTATATTTTTATTTACTAAAATTTGTTTATAAGCATTTAAAGGACTAAGAATCTTAATTACTTTATCTTTTGCATAACATTTGCTAATACTTATAGCATAAATTGTAAGAAAATATTGTTTATTATTATAACCATTTAATATGTAAAAAATTATATTAGTCAAATTGAATGCAAATGCAAATATTTATATATAGCAGTATACATACAAAAAAATTGTTTATTGAATGTACAATATTAAATATAAAAATTTTCTAGATTATTTTAATAAAATATATTTATTATTCAAATTTAACACTTACAAATTATTAATTTTATTTAACAAATAATATTAATTGAATTTATTTGATACAAATTATTTTTTTTCAAATTTTTCATTATTTGACAATATAATAATAATGCATCTACTTGTATAACTTATGAACTAAAGATACTAAAATAAGAAATAATAAAAAATTTATTATAATATAAAGACATTAAAAATTTGACATAAAACACTTAATAAAAACTATGATTACACTTCAAACTACAAATTATTTTTATCATAATAATTCCTTCACTGAATTTTGAATATCTCTTTGAAGCAAATTTATTGCATAATCTTATGATTAAAAATTATAAATATTGTCTAAATTTCTTTTTCAGTAATTCCTGGAAATGGACTTACCAGTTGCTTCTACTCTACCAAGGTAATTATTTTAAATCCTTAGTTTTGTTTTTTTTCATTTAATGACACATTATTATTGCATATCTGGTTTTGTAATAATACTAACAATATTTAAAACAACTAAATTTTGTCAACTTAAAAGTCCCTTACAATGATGATACCATTACCGCCCCAGTATGACAGCTTTGATTATACGGTTCAACTGAACTTATAAACAAACCTGGTTAAATTTACAATATTTGTTCATAGCTAATTATAATTATTTTAAATTACAGATCAAACGTTGTATGAGCAAGAGGAATACAAAGGATTATATTGAGAATTCTTTAGGGCTTGCAAAAAGGTAATTAACCTCAATTTTTTTATGTTTATCCCAATTGCCACGCTGCTTGTTATTCATTAACTCGACAGTGCCAACATTAGTTTATCTTTGGGTATAATAATTTCCTGCTAGGAAACTTCGTAATGATGTTTTATGTCTTATTGGAGTGCCGAAAGTTATGGAAACAGTAAAAGAAAATTATAATTTTAATATTAATTAATTATAATCTGTTTTATGGCTTATAGTCTATTTTATAAATTAATATTTTGTTACTTGAGATTTGTATTATGATTTAAACATGTTTTTGTTCTACAGATCAAAATCTGTTTTTATATAATTCTTTTCTTTACTTTATGTTTTTTAAATTTAATTTTATTTTGTTTATCATGTTTTATAGACAACATGAATATTTAAACATTTCTTTGTTTTATGGATTGAAATTTATTTTATTATAATTATTTTATTTACATACTGTTTTATGATTAATTAAATTTATTTGTTATGAGTTACAATATTAGAAACTACAATGTGAAAGTCAAAGATAATAATTTAGTAACATCAATTTAAAATATAGTATAGTAATTAGCAATTGTTTTACTTGCACAAATATATTAAATTCATTTCTTTTGCAGATGTCCAGAATTTAAATAAAAGCTTTATATGCATATGAGAGCGATCCAAACCAGAAAAAGGTATTATATTATTTATAACCTAATTTTTTTGTACAACTTTGTGTGTTCATTTTTATAATTCAATATTTTTAAGTTCCTTTTCACCAAATTCAATATTACTCAATAGTACGCTATTACATTCAGAATTTATATTTAAATTTGAGTTATTTATAAAAAAAAATTACACAATCTATTTTATTAATTTATTATTATTCCTAATTCATATTCATAATTTATTTTATCTATTTCATTTAATATTTGGATTTTTCTTTCAATAGATCTGTTACTATTCTTGTCCCAATTGCCACGCTAAAATGTTTATAATTAACTTTTTAGTGCCGAATTTAAATTATTATTGGGAATATTAACCCACGCTAGGAAACTTCATAGTGACTTTTACTGTTACAATGGAGTGCCGAAAGTAGTTGGTACATTTAATCACTACATATACATAATATTTAGATATATTATAAATTTCACAAATATCAAATTAAACTAATGTAATCAATTTATTTTCAGGAATGTCTGAATAAACTCCATGTCAAGAAAAGATGTTATCTATAAAATAATGCTGGAAGTTAAAATGCTAGCAGCTCTGCTGCATAAACAATTTTTTGATATTGGTAAGCATTTTTTTTTTAAATTAATGTAAAATCTTGATTTTAATTTTATATATATATTTTTTTTTCATATAAAACTCTTACAATTTATAGCTTTTTTTTTTTAATTTAAAATTTACCTATAGGTGGACATGTTACAGTCTTTAACATATTTATAGAATTTTTTTTAATTCTTATATAAATTATATATATAATATAAAATTTAATCTTAGTTTATAATTCAATTCAATGATGATAAACCTACCGCCCCAGTATGAAGATAGTGATTTTACGGTTTCACTGAATTTTTTACTGTATACAAATAATTTATTAATATTTGCACAGTGCTAAATACCCTTTTCTTTATAGGTAGCAGACACTTGAATTGAATTTGGTGCATCTTTCAGAACAAAATTAGGTGAGGTATTCTTATTTTTCATAATATTACCTTTAAATTTTGGAAAGAAACTTAAATATTTGAACCGGAAACCATTTTTACTTTTTTATTATTAAAATCACATTTTAAGTCACACTAACATGAATAAAAAATATATTCATATTTACTTTGTTTTGGATTTATTGTTCAAAGCACTACATAATATAAATTTAAATTTCATTAACTCAATGTAATTATACAAATATTTATTTAATATAAAAATATTTCAATTTTGAATTTTGATAAAATTATCTAAAAAATTCAGTTTTACTTAAAAACTTCAAGCACTACAATTTATTTTTATTACTATGATGATTTATAGTTATCCCTGTCTTACAAATTCATGGTGAACTACTTTTCTGACACAACTTTAATATTTAATTTTGTTATATATTTTAATATTCAAATATTAACAAAGGTTTTTTTAATTTCAGGCAACTCCATGATTTGTATAATTGATTGATAAAATCGAAGACATATCCAGGTAATTTTTTTGGTCACATTGAATTTACTCATGCTATTACTTGGTTAATCCTTTGCTAAATTTCAATTGTTTATTTAAAGAACAATTAATATTTCTAAACAATTAAATAAATCTTAATAGATTATATAAAAAAAAAAAACTCTTGAAAAGATTTCGCTTCTATTTTGATAACAAAAAATTCATTTAAGTCCTTGATCAAAATGAAAAGGCACTTCAACTGTAACTAAAATTATATTATTTTTTTTAATATGTAATTTTTTTTATTATTTGAATCATATTTCTAGCCATACTCTATTTATATTAAGTATTATATTTATAATTTTTTTTATATTACTCTAGTAATTTAATTATAAAAAGTCAAAGAAAATTTAACTCTAGTAATCTTCAAAATAAATAACTGTTTTTCACCTAACAAATTTTTCTTCAAAAATATCTTTGTTGTATTGTTTTTTATTACTACATTTACTTAATTGTACTTTATGGTATCCACGTTTAGTTTTTATCAAACTACACCATTTTATTAATGAATTTATGTACCAAATTGAATTTCATTCAAGAATTTTAAGCACATCAGTTTATTTTACTACAATGATGATTTATAGTTATCCCTGTCTTACAAATTCATGGTGAACTACTTTTCTGACAACTTCAATATTTAATAATTAAATTGATAGACATATTAGTTGAAATTTTAACATTTAATTTTATTTTGCAGGAGCTCCATGTTTTTGAATCACCAACAAGATGAGGTCGTATCCAGGTAATTTTTTTTATTTTGTTAAATTTAAACTCATCTTAATTTTATTTATTTAATAAAATTTTAATGGTATTTTATGATGATAAGCCTACCGCCCCAGTATGAAGATAATGATTTTACGGTTTTACTGAAATCAATACTAGTTGTAAATATATAGATTTACTTCATCCAACACGAAACTAAATTACAATTTTCTTTACAGATGTAGGAAGAGCACCTACAGTGAATTTGTTATTGCACCCGCAGTGCATTTGTGTCTTCTAAAACAAAATGAGGTGAGCAATGAAGAATAAAATACATTTGTATTTGTTAAAAAAAATCCTTTTTTTTATTAAGGATTGCATTTTAGTCTTGATATTATTACAATGATGATTTTTAGTTATCCCTGTCTTACAAACTCATGGAGAATTACTTTTCTGATCACTTCAATATTTATTTATATCATTATAATTTTTTTCTTCAAATCTAATACATTTTTATTTTTTAGGTGCTCCATAACTCGATGGATTTCTACAAGAAGATTGAAGTCGTGTCAAGGTAAATTTTTTTTTGTCATTCAAACTAAATTTTGCTTTCAACCAAATTCTACATTAACACACTATAGGCAGGGCGGGTAAAAAATGTTTTACTATCATTAACTTTAAAATCAGATTGCTAGTTTGTGTTCAACTCAATTGTGTGTTGTTATTTAGTAGTTTTATAATAGTAAAGAGTACTAATATTTACAATTGGATACTTGAAATGCTGACTTTAGCATTTTTTGGAAATTTGCACTATATGGATTTTGAACATTTTCTACTCTCTTCAATCTTTGATTATTATTTTGAATATTTTAATTTACATTTGTAATGAATAAGATTTACTGAAATCTAGTGAAAGTATTATATTATTAATGCTTCAATGTTGAAATTTTGAATAAAATGAATTAAAGAAGCCACTTTTATATTCAACTGTATTGTACTTTTTTTTTTTGTTAAATTAGTGTTGCTTATATCTTTCCAATTAAACTGTTTTTTAAAACTTAATGATTTAATTTACAAAAGATTATTCATTATAAGTTTTATATCAGTATCACTACCCGCTTATAGTATGTTAATATAAAAATTTCACTAATTATTCAATTAGTAGCATTTAAATAGTGCCTAAAAATTTTATATTTAATGATTTTTTTTTTAATATTTTATTATATGATGATTCTAAGTTATCCCTGTCTTACTAATTGGTGGTGACATACTTTTCTGATAAACTTGTATAATTAAAAATTATAGTTAATTAAACTTTTATATAAATTCTTAAATATTGATTTTTTTTTACAGATCTGGGGCACTGCTTAACTATTCTCTGAAGCTGTAGATATTTAATAAAGTTATCTCAAATGTAACAATTATTTTAAATAAAATATCAAAGTAATTTTTGCATTTTGCTTTTTTTTTTTAAACATTTCATCATTCAGCATCTTCTTTTTTTTTTGTAGAAATCACTTGCCTCTAATACATCATTCATTATTCATATGGAATCAATCAGTCATTTAAAAACAGGATTGTTTCTTCTACATCGTTTGAACTTCCACAAGTTTAAATTGTGAGAGATGACTAAATATGCAAATTGATAAAACATGATGATTAGGTTCATATTAAGGTAAAATAAGTTTTATCATTCTCGTTTTAAATTTCAGCTCAATTCGATGACATCTTTGAGGGTGTTAAGAATTGTGTAGGGTTGGGAATCGATAAAGTGGTCTATCCCTTTATGTACATACATATATAAATCGTTCTTTTAAGTCTTTAATACATGCAATAGACTTCTGACATTCATGTCGACTCAAATGAAATGTATTTAATTAAAATGAAATGCTATTGTTATATAATATAACATACTTTATATTATTTTATATATTTTAAAATTTAATGTCTATTGTCCATGATCATTATAAGTAATTCAAAAATTTCAATCTCAGGTTTTTAATGATAGTCCATAATTTTATTAGGTAAAAGTTTTATTTAAAAATTTTGGAACTTATGAAATTTTTTTAAAATGCTTAAGTTGAGTTAAGAAATACATAAGTGTATGAATATTTTAAAATACGTTTTTTTCATTACATTTCTACAAATTTATAAAAGTTGTATATGAATATTTTATATAAAAAGTTTTTCATTATTTTCTCAATTTTAAAAAATTATAAGATTTTGATGAATTTTTGTACTATATTTGAAATTTTTGTTTTTAAAAATGTATGTATATATATATATACACATTATATATACACATATATACACATATATATACACATATATACACATATATATATACACATATATATACACATATATACACATATATATATACACATATATATATATACATATATATATACATACACATACACATATATGTATGTATACATATATGTGTAATACATTTTATTATATATATAATTTGAGTTTAAAGATCAGACTTTACATAAATAAAAATTATTTAAATTTTCAGGAGAAGCAACTTATCTTGGATTTATTTATCGTCCAGTAGGATTTATTTTTGTTTCTTTGAGTATTTATGGTAGTCTTTGTAAACCTTCATGAAAAAACCGTACTTAAGTACACTAACTAATATATGTAACAGTGGAAATTCACCTAGGTATAATAAAATAGAAATGCAATTGATGAATGTACCAACGAATTTAAGATTTTGTAGTTTCAAATATCTTAGTTTTCAGTTCTCCGCAAGTTTTCAAAACAGCTGCTGTACGAAGTTTGGATGACTCACAGGCTACTACTTTGGCTTGGCTTCATAAAAAACGAAATAAGAGGTCAGCTTGTGTCTCAAATTAATTATTCCTGAGGTGAAATAATAATATAATTACAATTAATCAATACTGATAGTAATATATTACTGTTATATAATGGTTTATATTTTAAAGTCAATTATTATCTTATTTGATAGAACATTTCAAGTGAATAGTCTATGATAAAGTTTTTGATGACGCCAAATAAAATGAGATTTTTTGAGAGCATAAAGAATTTTGAAAATGCCTTCTATTTGATTTAGTACTAACTGTTATCGCTAAGTTTTTTTTTCATTAATTAAATTGTAAGGCATTGGTTTTATACTGAAAGATATAAATCGATGCAATTGATGTTATAACAAATGATATGTATTTATATATCATATATACATATATATTTATATATAACGTATTAAGTGTATTGAAAATTAGATTTCTAACTGTTAAAGTAGAAGCATATAAAGATATCAAATAAATTGAATTGTATATTCTACATAAATGAATGCAAACATAGAATACCTGAATCAAATACATGTAAGATAATAAATATCTTTGAGCCTGTTCAAGAGAACTGATGCCTTTGTTTGAAAATGCAATTTGTTTTTATTGATTATTTTACATTTGTACTTGAAAGCATGGTTTATTCTACACGAATAGATTTTTAAATTTCTGCATCAAGATATATATCAACAGTCTAGAAATCGGGCATAAAAAACATGAATTTATTCCAAAAATTTATTTTACATCTATACGTTTCGGCTATAATCCTAGCCTTCGTTCAGTGGAAACTAAACATAAAATTAAAAACTGATACAATTGAATCGGAGTGAAAAGAAAAATTATAATAAAGAGTGCTATAGCGCTTACAATTAGTTGAACTTAGTAATTACAATTAGTATTTGGATATAGTAATGCATTACACTTAACTTAATAAATCACAAATAGATAGTGTGTAGTAATATATGTATTGTTCGTAAACTGGTTGAAGGCATTTTTTTTTTTTATTGATGTTATGCCCGATTACTAGACTTTGTTAATATATATGTCAACATTAAAATCAGAATTATATATATATATATATATATAACAAATGTATTCTGAGTGGATAATAGATATTAATTTGGAAATATGAACAAACAACACTCTTTTTTGCACTAATGTATTAAATAATAATTTTCACAAACGTTTCGAGACTAGGTTTGTCTCATCATCAGTGTGTTATAATTTAAAATATGGAAATCTAAATTAGCATTTTGTGTTATCCATTACAGTTTTTGTGTATCGAGCGACTTGTAATGAATAACACAAAATGCTAATTTAGATTTCCATATTTTAAATTTTAAATTAGAACACACTGATGATGAGACAAACCTAGTCTTGAAACGTTTGTGGGAATTATTATTTAATAAATTAGTGCAAGAAAGAGTTGTTTGTTCATATTTCCAAATTAATATATATATATA